GAAATTATGACACACCTCATATAATTTGTCATTAAGAAAATATGGCCACCATAAAGCCTCCACTACCAGCATGGTGCAGTGGTTATGAGTGGCGAACTCTAATACGGAGAACTGGCTTTGATTCCCCACTCCTCCCCATGAAGCCAGCTCAGTTGAGTGACCTTGGGCCAGCCACAGTTCTCTTAGAGCTCTCTCAGTCCCACCTACCTCACAAGGTGACTGTTGTGGGGAGAGGAAAGGAAGGAGATTGAGAGCAGCTTTGAGATTCCTTCAAGTAGAGAAAAGCAGGGTATAAAAACCAGCTCTTCTTCTTCTACCACCAAAGAAGCACGGAAAAGCTCAACTGTGGCAATTGCACATTATGTATCAAACTCCGCCAAGACGTCTAGAGGGATGCAGAGGATTTTCCCTTCTCTCCCATTTCATCCTCAACCACCTGAGAGGCAGGCTCAGATGAGAGAAAAGTGATTGGTCCAACGTCATCCAGGGAGCTTCACAACCGAATGGGGATCTGGACCCAGGTCTCCCCAGTACTAGATCACCACTATCTACTACAACTACACCACAATGCCAGGAAGCAGAATTTTAGCTGGGGACATGGAGAGAAGGCTTGGCTTTTTCTGCAGTCTCCTGTTAGAGCTATCCCTTGCAAAGTCGTTTCAAGCTGTATCATCACTCCCCCAGGGACTTGAAAATCTAGGGAAGGCAGCAAGGCTTCTGAGAGTACTATATTCACATCTACTTTTGGTGCCTGCCTTGAACAGCAATGGAGATTCAAACTAACAGAGTGCAACAGTCATCACCTTTGGAATCGATGGGAAATCTCCCACACACACACACACAAACACACACACAAGTAATAGCCCAGGGTTGCACAGAGAGCAGCATCCTAGCCTAAGGAGACCCTTTGTCATACTGCCTATAGGGGGAACAAAAAGAAGGATCTGAACAGAATGCAGAGTGTAAGCTATAAATGTCCTTTTAAAGATCATACCAGGCTGCACCTCCACTATAGCGGTGTCAGTGTCTGAATCTCCTCTGCCATCGGTGACTTTCAAGTGAAAAGTATAGATCCCTTCCACAAGATTGGTTACCTGCAATACTGCCTCGTGGTCTGAACCATGTATCACATCCTGCAAGAGTCAAGCTTCAGATTCATTTGAACTCAAGAGCAGTCATTTTACAGCTGCCTATAATCTTAATGTACTTTCGCATGCCACAAAACTAGCCCCAGACAGCCTTAGATGGCTCATCTCCTCCTCAAATCCATGAGTTTGGTTTCTTTTATTTCCATGTTAAAGATGGAGAACTGACACTCATAATGAGACGACCAAGGCTGGTGTTATGTATTAGAGCTGGAACATTTACCGAAGACTGGCTGAGCTTGAAGCTTTAGAACAATAGCCCACCAGGACTCGGGAGGTGACCAATGAGAAACTAATGTTATATAAATAGCCTATCGTTGGGAGTTGGGTGTGTTTGGGTGTGGGTTTTGCATGCTATTTAAACAGAGCTGTTGCCCTGAGGTTTCAGTCTTGTTCCTGAAATCACTTAATAAAGTAGAGCTGTTCACTGCAATGCATCCTGAACCCAGTATTTAATAGCTAGCCACTCCAGGTCCAAACCCAGCTCTCTATCCAATATACCGTACTGGATTCAAACACATGTATCAATGCAAATAAGGGGTAAGACAATCGGAAATATGAAGAGATCGATTTAAGAGTTAAACTCTTAATATACTTACTCCTGCAGCTGGACTCTGACCACCCCGAGTCCAGAGATAGGAAACAATTCCTTGGTCATCAGTAGACTGTGAACCATCCAAAACAATAGAATTATTGGGAAGAACAAGAACATGCTTGCCTCCTGCATATGCCTGTGGTGGGTGGTTGCTTTCTAAACAACGAGACAGTAAGAAAGGGAGAGTTTCATTTTTTTTAAAAAAAAGAACAAAATGAAAATGATAAATTACTCCCAAACGTCTTGCTCCATATAAGCAGACATTCAACATGTAAGGGAGACATCAAAACACACACTGAAATCATTTCTGGTGAAAACAGCTGGCTACTTGCCACTGAGCAACATCCATCACGGGAAGCAAAACCGTGACTCACAAGAGTCTCCTCTTAGAACTGAGGCAAACAGAACACAGGCCATGACCCACTACCTGACCAGTGATTAATTTCAGTGCTGGGATTCTTTAAAGGTTGCTGAACCAGATGATATTTCCATGTTCTTAAACAAAAATGCATACACAGGATTGCTTATCACCTACACTTTAACTATGAAGAATTCTGGAGCACACACTCTAGCTTTGTAAGTTTAATACATAATCAGGGAACTAGAGGAAATTGTATTTTTTTTAAAAAAAAAATTAGACCACAGAAGACTGAAGTCAGGCCATCCCAGCACATACATCCACTGCTGACAGAAAAAGGTTTCATTCCAACCTTCACAGCCAAAGCTTGCAGGAATACAGGTTGGGCCACAGAGACTCCTTATCATCTAATTATCTCCAAAGCGATCCACAGTAGCCATACAACAGATGATGCCAGACTAAAGAACTTGCTAATTGCAGCCCTCTCTTTCTCGCCTTTTTGGGATGCTACCAAAAGACAGTAGAGGCAATGGACAAATTGACTCTGCGTAATCTGCCTTGAGTCTGAGTGAGGAAGGCGGACTGTAAATAATGTTAATAAATAAATATATATTGATCAGGGGTCATTTCGTAGAAAAAGAGGTGCCGGAGCTCATTAGCATAACTTAGTACCATAACTTATTTGCATATGCCACACCCCCTGACATCACTGGAAGTGTGCCAGAAGGCAACACCCATCGCTCAGGCTCCACTGGACTGTTTTCGATTGCTAGCTATTGGGGGGGGGGAACGCGCAGATCTGCCCTCACCAAGGAGGGAGAGCTTGTACCTGAAGGCGGGCTGGGGGGGGCTCTGCAACTTACCTGGCTGCTTCTTGCTCCTCATGGCACGACTAAGGGCTGCTGGGAGCAGGGGGCGGGACTTGTTGCATGTGCCCGCCCCCTGGACTCCTTACTGCCGGAGCTCCGCTCCTGTGCGCTCCAGCAGGAAATGACCCCTGATATTTATACAGAAGAGCCTGGAACAGCAGTGCCATCTAACATTCAAATAAAGGCAACTGTGATATGTAACAACTGGGGCAAAAAGAAAAGAAAAGAAAGAAAACTAGGAGAAAAGCACAGCCAGGGTGGGAAGCACCATTGTAGGACAAGGAAAGAAAAACTGTACTTCACAGAGGCACTATGTGAACATTCCTCCAGGGGGCATAACAGAGAAAAACAAAGAGAAAAAGAGGCTGTACACTCCGTGGAGAACAGAACACCAATTCCTGACAATGCTGCAGCACACAGCTTGGAAGGCAGTGCATTGGATCCCGTGGATCCATTTTGGTTATGGTCAGTCTTTTCCCCTGTGTAAGGCGCCTTTCTCGACACATCTGAGCCTCCTGATCAGGGAAGGATCCTTGAAGGTGGGGGGCCACCACCATTAATGGAATGGACATGCAGGATCCAGCCTACTGCGTGGGAAAGAAAAGTGACGAAAATCGAGATTCTGATTCTGATAGCAAACAAGAAAAGCAGAAACTGACATAACGCATAGTTTTAATTTTGAACTTGCATACGTAGCAGAGGCTCTTAAACAGCTTTAACACACAACTTTAAACAGCTTTAACACACAACTTTTTTAAAAAACCACCTTAAAAATGACATTAAAACAACAGCAGTGTGGGGTGATGGTCAAAATGTTGAAATCAGATTGGGAAGACCTGGGTTCAAATCCCCACTGTTCCACAACTTTAAGCAAGTCCACAACTTTAAGCAAATCACAGATCCGTTCTACCAGCAGTGGTGCTTTCCTCTGGCACAAGGCATTTTCCCTTCCTTGACCCAAGAGGCAATTCGGTCAGAAAAGCTTGTTGCATTAAGGAAAGGCTCTCTGTGCTGGAGGAAAGCTCCACTGCTAGCAACACGGATCTGAGGGATCCAATCCACCATCTCTCGGGTTATCCTATTTCACAAGGTGGTTGTGAGAACAGAATGGGGAGTGAGAACAGAATGGGGACCCCTGATACAGGGTGTTCTCCCCCTGTATCAGGGGTCCCCAACCTTTTTGAGCCTGCGGGCACCATTGGAATTCTCACACATTTTGGTGGGCACAGCCACAAAATGGCTGCTGCAGTTTACTTTCAGTCACACAGTGAAGGTCCTTCTGCTGTGGTGATAGCTGCCACCAAAGCAACTATTTTAAAATCAGCACAGCCAATCAGAGACCTTGCTGGGCTAAAGTCCCATCTGGCCCCAGGCACTTTCTAAAAGCACTTGGTGGGCACCATGGTAACCACAAGCACCATACTGGGGACTCCTGCCGTGTGTACTACCCTGAACTCTTTGGAGAATGATTTTTTTATTCTGTCCTAATAAATAAATGACAAGATTAAAAAAAACATGCAAACAAAAAAATTAACATACCATCTAGCCTGAAAAAACTTTGTTCAAAAGAAGACGGTTCTGGCTAGCCTCTGAAAAGTACAAGAAAGTCCTGAAATGACGGGTAAGACACTTAGTATTAATATGAGCAGCAGAAGGGTGGTTTGATGTCAATTACATGTATTTCATTCCGACATCAGGATTCAGCCACAGACCCTAATTCCTTCACATGATGAGGTCACTGGGTTTACCTTCCTTTACGGTCACAAAAACCGTTGTGGTGCTGCTGAGGCCTTGATTGTCTTTGACTGTCAGTCTGAAGCGATATGTTCCAGCCTGGAGACCTGAAATGGTTGCGACTGCACTGTCGACGTTATCCATTTGCAAAGAGGTCGGCCCACTGCAAGGGAGCAAAGGAAGCCATAACCCCAGATTCTGATCAAACTCATTCAGATTCTTACACAACATTAAAACAAAATCTTTTATTGTTGCCTTGGGACAAATTCTGGCGAGGGAAACAAATGTTTTAGAAGCTACAGAAGAGCTCCTCTTCCTGTGAAACAAAAGAGCTAAAGCACCCTCTCTACTAAGAAATTATCAAGGCTGGTTAGCAGGATGAGGGGTTTTTTTATCTGCTTCAGGTGGGTAACAAATGCTTCTACACTCAACTAACAGCAATAATCCTCTTAAAACAATATCAACAAACCTGCATGCAAATGATCTGAGAGGAAATGGCTTCAAAAGAAGACAAACTAAAAGATCTAGTCAAAAGTCTCACAATCTATAAACTGGATGGTTACAGAGGGAATCAGACCAGTTTTCTTATTTATACCCCAGAGTCATTTATATCACTGCCGTTAGCATCCATAAATGCTATGGATCAATGGATGCTAAGGACAGGTTGCAGCAATTTTAAAGAACAAGAGGCAATACAATTAAAATAAAAGCCAAAGCCTGCAACCAGCAAGCAGTCTCTAATTCTCCTTGCAACATAATAAAACCAAACGTTAAAGCCATCCTCTGCTAAGTATCAATTACAGCCAGCATCATAAAAATGCATTACACAGCAGCATAACCTATAAAAGCGTAGCATAAAGTACCAACAGCCATTTGAGGGAATCCTTGCAATCCCCTGAGTCTGGAAGGTGTTCCCTTATGGCGCTGTTATGGAGGAGACCTGCTCATGGCCTTAAGCTGTGGCCAGATGGAAAAGAGGAAGGAACAGTTGTGCTCCTCCCGGAGGGCGGCGGGGGAGGGGGGAGCTCTCATGCTGCTTTCTGCAGCCAGCCCCCCTTTGACCAGCAAACCTGACAGTACAGCTCAAATTTGGTCTACAAATGCATGTTTAAAAGAAGGGGGCTCGAGGAAGGCTGACTGCCCACCATTCTGCCAATGTGGGAGGAGGGCACAAGGAGTCTTCATCACCTCTGATGATCATAACAACTTTGTGGAAGAAATATACATGAATACCCATGAGAGCACTAAGGAAGCAGTAGTCCCTAAGGAAAAAAACAATTCATCCCAAACTGAATCAGAAACTACCTATTACACTTTGCCCCAAAATGTGAATGCAGCACAAGACGACCATTATTAACATTTCACCAAGAAGAGTTTTGTGTGAATTATATCAATATCTTAAATTGGAGTTTATATAGGCTTGGAACCAGACTGGACATTTCTGTGGGTGCAAAGACTTCCACCACAAGGATGTGGTTCTCCTGTCTCCCGTTCTCATGGTAGCCTAATGTCCCCTGCAGTGCTCCTGAGTACCCCCTCCCTCCCAGGCACAGGACTCGAGGGGGTGGTCTCAGGCTCCTGCAGAAGGGGTTGGTGGGAAAAAACCTCACTCCATGGGCACAAGTTCTTCACCCATGGAAACGTTACTCCGGATTGAACCTACAGCCATTAAAAAAGAAAGATCTGTTTGAATTGCACTTGATTTGCTCTGTAGGAATTCCCTACAAACACACCTCTCCTGATCCCATCCAATGTTCCCTCTAATCTGTGGAGTCCTGTGAGCAAAAATTCCACTTTGTGAGCTACTGGAATTAAAGTTATGAGCAAGCAATTTGGCTACAGCATAAATTACTTTGCTCTGGAGCTATCCTTCCTGGGCTAAGACAAAAATGTGTGAGCCAGAGGCTAAAAAACTGTGAGCTAGCTCACACTAACTCAGCTTAGAGGGAACACTGATCCCATCTGCAGGCTTTCAAGTTCCTTCCCCTTGGGTCCAAGTTACTAATCCATGACCCTGTGCACATGCCACCGAGTACATTCAGAGGCAGAAGCCTCTAAAAAAAATACCTGATATTCTCCCAGTGATAATAAACAATGCCTAGATCATCAGTACTCTGGCTTCCATCAAGAATAGTGCTCTGGACAGGAAGTGTTAACTCTTTATCTGGACAAGCCACAGCTCTTGGAGGGCTATTTTCTGTAATGAAAAATATATATTAAAAAAATCGCATTCCCTAGTCAGTCAGTTGCTAGTAGGGGTAATCAATCACTAAGCAAGATAAGGTTTAGCATCCTATGTTTATATGTCACCACCGATTTTTCACATACAGAGCTCATATGTATGACAAAGCAGAGATTGTCTGCTCAGATGCTGTAGTAAGAGGACTGGGGAAAGGATCGGATACTTTAAAAAAAGAGGCTGCAATACCATCAACAGAGCACAATTTTCATTTCAGCAAGTCTGAAGCCATTTCACAGGACAGTGGGTATACATGTGAGGAGGTATAAAAAACATGTATTGTCTTTGACTGCTGTGAAGAGCTGGGGTGGCAGGATCAGGCACTAACATATTTTTGGCAGCAAAACCCCCACTTAGCCCAGAGCCACTGTTTTCATGATGGCAGCATGAATTGATTTCGGGATTAATTGAAGACCACTAGCCATACCACACTTCCTCATCACACCACAAAAGTGCAGCTGTGAAACAGGCCAAAGTAATATCTATTTACTGGTCTGCCAGGGTTTGGCACTATTTACAGCTAGCCACTGCTGAGGTAAATTTTGATGGTGTTCCTTAGGGACCCTCCCCCTTCCCTGGTAAAACCCAGTTATAACCTTTTCTGTCCTTAATCCCAAGAAGAATAGAAACTGAACATAACAGCAGATGTACTCGATCATTTTTATACCATTGTAGCCTATCGTGAGATAAATGGAGATATGTTTTTTATTGTGTCAGAATGGAGAGAAGGCCAATAACTGCCAGATTAGCCAGTCCTTCCAGCAAGAGATTTCTCACAGATTTTCCCCACAGCAACATATGCTGTGATAGCTGCATCCCACTGCCACTGCTTACTCGGTCCTATAGGAGACTCCAGCTGTCCAGGCAAACAAGTATGAGGGATCGCCTTTGAATACAAGCTCCTTCATAGTGTGAGGATGGGGTGGAGTACAGCCACTGACCAGCTGAATCCTTCCTACCTGCTGTCAGCAGCTGAATGGCATCCAGGCTGCCTTGCGACCAGGAAAAGAAGCTGCGAAAGATAGCCATGCTAGGCAAAACAAAGGGGGGTGGGGATCTTTCACAGCTATGACCTTCCTCCTTGGGCTCCAAGGAAGACTTGAGTGTTGTGACTATTCCAAACTATTTCACAGGAAGGACAGAGATGAGCTTAGCACTCAGTTATCCCAGTGGGAAAGGAGACAGAAGACTGCCTTCTCCAAGTGGCTCAGAAGAGTGGTGATAATGGCCTGGGCCTACCGCCATTTTCCAGACTCCAGATCTTTAACTGCTGCAAGGAAATTTGCTGCAAGGGCAAGAGAGCAGCCACACATTGCTAATCCTCCCTGACATATAGCCATTGCCATTTTATTTATTTTTCTATTCATATCTTGCTTTTTTGGCCACAGTCTTTTCAAGTGCTTCTCAACATGAATAAAATACAACAATTCCATTAAAAACAGCATAAACCATGACAGAAATGCAACCATGGACAGACATGGGGAGGGTGAAAGAAAAACAGAATTTTAAAATCATGACTATACAAAACAAATCCTCTCACAAAGGAAGACCAGCTTGGTTCCTCTTAACGGTAAAGAAGGAAGGAACTGAAGGGTTGATCTAGGAAAAGGGACACAGGCATGTCTTTTGCTGCCTTCCTTCCTTTCTTGGCTCTCGCATGTAGGCCAGTTGGCAATAGGGCCACTGCAGAGGCTGACAGGCCAGTCTATGTATCCAGGGCCCAGGTATATGGGGGTGACTTTGGCTCACTCCCTTCTTTCCACAGCTCTCTCACCCAGGATGGCTCATTTAACATTGGCCACAGAAGTGGCATATGCTGTATGCACCTTCAGCCTGTTAGACTGGCCTCAGAGCTCAACAACGGCTCAGTCCACAGAACGCGTCTGTCTGTCTGTCTGTCTGTCTGTCTAGCTCCCTCTCCCTCCTATCCTGCACCCTCCCACCTAGGAGGATTAAAGGAGGATTAAAGGACCAATGAGATTTATCATTTTATGTACATGGCTCCTTAATGTATGGATGTTCTGTGAAGTCAAACATGCTTCAGATTTGCCTACCAGGCCTCACAATCACCATGACTTGAGCTGTGGACCGCTGTTTCACAGAATCAGTAACAGTCAGCTGGAATGTATAATTTCCTTCTTGCATTGCAGACAGCTGGAGGTATGGAGTCTGCATTCCCTACGTAATCGGGGAGGGGAGGAGTGAGAGAAGAAAATCAGGTGACAAGAAGTGTTAACAGCAAAAAAATTGTCCTTAAACCAAAAACTGAAAACAAACATAACTTTTCAATCATCTTAATAAATGACTATTCTGGACCATTTAGTCCAAATAAATACATATCTAACCTAGAAATGGATCTAAAAGAAAAGTCATAATTCATATTTATTGTTCCAAGGCAATTTTAGAATAGTTATGTGCACTGATATGCCAGTCGCTGCTCAACCTTAAGAGAGTTAACCAGTAAATTCCCTGCAAAGGCATGTCAAATTGCATTTGCCTAAAAAAATCTGAGCCCTCTTGGAACATTCCCCAGTATCCCAGTGTAGCTCAGTCTGCCACTGCTGGTGAAAGGCATGGAACATACCATCACTCTGGGGGCACTCTGGGGAACAGAGATATACAAAGTCAATTCAAGGAACCACATACTTTGCTTAGTCTGAGGTCTACAAACAGGAGAACTTTTTGTCCTCTGCTACAATTATTTCAGTGTGTAATAATATTTTCATTATTTCTCAATCACATTAATATGCCTGTAAATATTCAGCCAAACCATGAATGCTCTGGATCAACATCTAGGAAGTCAATATAATCAACATGCTCAAATTTACTGGTTTCCTTCAGTAGAAAAAGTTTGCTTAAACACAAAGGGTTTTTTCCAAGTTAAGATAAAAAGTTAAGCCCCTATAATCCTTGTAGGATATTTCTCATAGTCCCCCTTCTGATTACAGCACAAGGCTCTAGCCCTTTACCAGCAGACATCAGAAAATTCTGGCTGCAGAAAGAATCGGAACAAATGGTCTGACAAACAAAATCCTCTCCACTCACCTGCATTGCTACCGCTTTGCCTTTACTTTGAGGGCTCAGGGACCACTCGTAGCTCACAATCTCATGGTCATCATAGCTCTGGTTTCCACTTAGTGTGACAGAGTTTTGAGGCAAACTGATGACTTGATTGGGTCCTGCACTGGCAACAGGTGGATGATCTACGGGCTTGCTGACTATCAAAGCAGTTGTAGTGGAGTTTGCTGCTCCATCAGAGTCTACGACTGTCAACCTAAAGAAGGGAAAAGGTATGGGGAATCTATATATTTTGGTGTGGGCTCTCTCTCGTAAGCCCAAACGTTGGACAATACTGGATTCTTCGACCTTAAGCATGATTCTGACATAGGATTGGTTAACTAGCAGCTGGGAGGGCATACCTGGTCATTAATAAGTTGGTCTGCACTAACATATTTCAGTCATTTACAAAGAAAAATGGAAGATCTGTCTCACTTACCATGAACCTTCCTTCTCGATGGTCCAGGGGTGGAGCAGTCTTAACTTCTGGGAGACACTCCTCCCTATAGGCAGGTGGAGTCACCGATCTTTGTGTGATTCCTGGAGGGGGTTCTCTCTCGGGTCCCAGTCTGGTCCTGAAGCAGTATAACTCCCTCTTCCAAACATTTGGACATAACCAAGAAAGGACCTCCCACCGTCAAAAAAAGAAACTGATGAAACTAAAGAAACTGACCTAACTATGGGGAGAAACAACTTAAGGTAAAAGAAAAACTCCCAGAGAGTCTCACCAGTGACAGGAAGAATGGAAGGAAAGGAGATTAAGCCCAAGATCCAGACAGCATACCCCCTCCAGTCCAAAAACCATCAAAAGAAAAACATTTTTATCCTTGGGTGGGAAGAGACTGCCCTGCCCCTGGACCACCAAGAAAGAAGATTCACAGTGAGACAAATCTTCCATTTTCCAGTGGTCCAAGGCAGGGCAGTTTCAACTTCTGGGACATACAAAAGCAGTGTGCCCCAGGGAGGGAAAAGACTCTTAGACTGAGATGTCATGCTGTAGAACCCTTCTCCCAAAGGCAGCCTCCGCAGAGGCTAATGTATCAACCCTGTAGCGTCTGGCGAAGGAGTGGACAGACCTCCGGGTGGCAGCCTTACAAATTACTTCTAAGAACGGAAAGGATCTGTAAGCTGCAGAGGCAGCCGCCCCTCTGAGTGTGCCGTAATGCTCGCCTGGAGGAGGTTGTAGACCCCAAGACTTGTAGGCTAGAATGATACAGCCCCGAAGCCATCTGCTAATGGTAGACGTAGAAACCTGGTGACCAAGGGAAACTTTCCTGAAAGAAATGAACATGGAGTCGGTCTTACGAAAGGACTTAGTCCTGTTGAGGTAGAAACTCAGGGTCATCTTAACATCCAAACAGTGCCACTCGTTCTCCTGAGGGTGCTTGGGATTAGGGTAGAAGGAGGGGAGAATCAAATCTTCTGATCTGCTGAAGGAAGAATCGACCTTGGGAGCAAAGGCCAGGTCTGGACGGAACACTACTCTATCATTATGGAAAACACAGAGCTCTTTGCCCATGGAGCGAGCTCTGAGTTCTGACACCCTCCTGGCCGAAGTGATACCCACTTGGAAGATAGTTTTAGAAGTGAGCTCTTTGAGAGGACAGGTGGACAAAGGTTCAAATGGGGCCTGCCGAGAGTGCCTTGAGCACAACAATTAGGCTCCAAGTAGGGAAACGGTGAACTTGAGGTGGATTGTTCAGGGAAGAGTCATTGCCAGGCATTGGTGGTCTTTGCTGCCCTGAGCCCCAGACCCACTAATAGCTGACTGGCAGGTGGTGTAGCCTAGTGTAGTGCTACTAATGACAGTTCACAATTCTCTTAGTGCTGTTAACCTTAATAAACCTAATCTATCCTAACAAACCATAATACCCAATTAACTAAAAAAACCATATCATCCAACTAGCTAACACTTAAGTTTCTATCTTTATTTCTATTTCCCAGGCCAGTAATTTACATAAAGAGGGTAAAAGTCCAAAGAAGGGCCCAGGAATCGTAGTACTCAATAGGAGCGCAGCCAGCGACGTTTATCTGCTTCGAAGGCCAGGCCAAAAACTGGGATCCGAGAGAGAAGCCCCTCCCCTCCAGGAATTACACAAAGATTGGCGACCCTGCCTGCCTATAGGGAGGAGCTTCTCCCAGAAGTTGAGACTGCCCCACTCTGGACCACTGGAGAACAAACAATTAAGCCAATCCACCTCATAAAGGGAACTTCAGGATTCCCATTCATTCCTTACTTATTACATTTTTGTTTCTTCAGGGAACTGAGGGCAGCATATATGGTCACTCATCTCCACCATCATCTCTGTGAGGTGTATGTTAGGCTGAGAGAGAATGAACGACTCAAGGTAACCCAGTAAATTTTTCACGTTAAGCTGAAATTTGAACCTGGATCTCTCCAGTCCTAGTCTAACAGAGCCATTCTAAGCAGAATTATGCCCTTCAACCCCAATGACTTCAATGTGACACTCTGTTTAGGACTGCCATCACTTTTTTAACTACTATGCTCAAGTGGTTAAGACACTGAACTGCAGGCTGTGGAAGATCGGTAGTTCAGCAGTTCGAGACCCGAGTGTGCCGCATGACGGAGTGAGCTCCCGTCTCTAGTTCCAGCTCCTGCCAACCTAGCAGTTCGAAAGCAAGAAATTGCAAGTAGATAAATAGGGACCACTTCGGTGGGAAGGTAACAGCATTCCGTGCACCTTGGTGTTTAGTCATGCCGGCCACATGACCACGGAAATGTCTTCGGACAGCGCTGGGTCTTCGGCTTTGAAACGGAGATGAGCACCACAACCCTAGAGTCGGATTTGACTGGCTTTCGAGCAAGGGAACCTTTACTTTTACCTTTTTATGCCATTCTAGCTCCTGTCAACTCATACGATTAGGGGCTGCCACTGATGAATGTGCCCTGGAACATCTTCTGGCCTGAAACTCGCTGGATGTTACCCCTTTCATTGGATGTGACTTAGACTATCACCATTATCTGTCGGTTTTATTTGTAAACTGTTGCTGTTTTAATTTTGTATTGTAATTATTAATTGTTTTAACTCTGTATTGTTTATGTTATTTTAACTTTGTTAGGCGCTTTGAGCCAGCGCGTCTGGCAAGATGGGATACAAATAGAATAAATAAATAAATAATAAATAAATACAGTCTATAAGAAGAAGAAGAGATTAGATTTATACCCTGCCCTTCATTTGGAGTCTCAGAACAGCTTACAAACTCCTTTCCCTTCCCCTCCCCACAACAGACACCCTGTGAGGTAGGTGGGGCTGAGAGAGCTCTGACAGAAACTGCTCTTTTTCAAGAACACCTGTGACAGAACTATGGCTTGCCCAAGGTCATCCAGCAGCTGTGAGTGGAGGAGTGGGGAATCAAACCTGGTTTTCCCAGATTAGAGTCCACGCACTTAACCACTGCACTTGTGTTCTATAAATGAAGCCTTTATTGGGAAACTATCTGGGAAGGAGATAGATCCACATCCTGGACCACCAAGATGTGGATCTATCTCTGTCTGCAGAACAGAGTGATTCAGAGAAAAAGTGCAATCCCTAGTTTGTTATGGCTTGCTGAGGCAAATGCAGAAAACAAGAAGGTGGTTTGCTCACCTGAAGGTGTAATTGCCAGGAACAAGGTCAGACAGATGTAAAACTGATGTATCAGCAGATACTTTCTGTTTCCTCAGAGGACCTTCAACTTCCTCCCAGTGATAACTTACTATTTTGGTATCATCCACGCTTTCTACATTCAAGGGAAACACCAGGTCGCGAAATTAATAAGCCAGTATCACTACGAACTATTTCTGTTCACACTGAAAAACAGCACTAATCTGGTACTTACGATTCCCATCAACAAAAGCAGACGTTGCGGGGAAAACAATCTCCTGCACTCTGGGAGATACAACAGCAACAGGTGACTGATTTATTCTGATGGCTGTGCAAAGACGAGAAACAGAACACGATGGTTTGTAACATGAAGCTATCTCATGAAACTCAATCATATTGAGATGGTGGTGTGGTTCTTCTACAACCCCCCTCCCCACAAAAAAACCCTTTAGCTATTGCACAAGATGATTAATCCTTCAGCAGTAGGTTCAAAAACAGACTTTGAATGAAATCAAATGGAAAAACTGATCCACTAAATTCTGAAGATGTACCTTCTCAAGAGGATACAGTCCAAACGAGAACAACTGTGCAGGGAGAGAGGGGGCCAGAAAGTAAACATTAAAATGGAAGGGACAGAAAAGAGAAGCACTTCGTTCATTTCAAAAGCTGAGCATGCTAACACACACAGGTGCACTCTCTCATTCTAAAAGAAGTAGGTCCAAGACAGAAGGGAAAGGAAGGGAGAGGATGTGGACACACCCTGCTGGCCCTTGTATGTAGTTATGTAATGAAGGGTCTTCCACTCTGCTTGCCTGTAGTGCTGCCCCTCTGCCTTTACTAAGTCTCTACACAGCAGTTTTGCTTCTGGCCCAAGAGAGAGAGAAAAGGAGAACTCAAAATACCCACACGGGCAGTGCTTAACTCTGGTGAGAAGAGTGAGTGACCACCAAGTATGGCACTGTGGAGCCTGAATGTGCAGAGAAAGCAAGAGCAAGCGCTAAGCGGGGACGGCATAACATGCAACTCAAGAGTTCACTTGAGGACAACTGCTCCACTTCCCCTGCAAGTAGCAAATTATACAGCTGGGTTCCCCCTGAACATCCACCACCCCAGCTTTCCTTAAAACAAGGCAGAAAAGGGACGTAAATACCGGCTACAAATATCTGATTGTTCCTTGCTACCTGCTGTCATTATTTAAGAAGAATGAAAGTATCATGTACTGAACTGGCATACATGTATGACAAAGCAGGAAATTAGTTCAAGTCTCTGGAACACTGAGTTACCTGGCTGGACAGTAACATTTACAAATCCTTCTCCGAATGCATCGTCAGAAGACACGGTCACTTTGAAGACATAGACACCTACTGGCAGCTGAAACAGAGGGATTTCTTTGTTCTAAAGTACATGCAGAATTTCACAGAGGCAGAACATGAATTTTCCAAGATGTGCATCTAGAATCACACTGACCAAGATCAAAGTATAGAATAAATGTATGAGCATCCTGGCTATCAGTCAAAGAAGGAATGGCTGGGGTTCGGGGAGGGGTGGGAATCAGAACATTACAGCTATACAGAGCTCTTAGAAGAAAACGCAATACGTCTAGGGAGCACTGCGTGCACACGGCAGAAAGACAGGAGTCTTGCCAAAGAGGAAGACTGAAAATACATTTGCAGTGATGCGCTGTCTTTTGTTTCTTTCTTTCACTGCCTGTAATATTCTTTTGGACATTGGGCTGCATTTGCCTTCAGAGACAGAGCTAAGCTAAAAACCATCTTTAGTTTCTCCTGTCATGGCAATTCTTATATCCTAAGAAAGCTTGATACATTGAGATTGAATTGAGATAAATGGCAGAAAAAGCTACTTTTGTCTCTGATATTATACACAGCCACCTTCTTTTAATAAAGGTAAACTTATCTGTTCAGCTCTGTAACTGGTTTAAACTAAGGTCCAAACTACACATTACTTTTGACATGGGATCACCACGGGGACTTGCAGCCATACAGCAGTTGCAAATTCCCCACTAAAACTCACTTGGGAAACACTGCAAGGGGCCAATCTGGACTGGGACTGTAGTGCGGGGAAAGAGGAGCTCCTGCTTCCTACCAACTTACCCAAATCACTATACACGTGAAGATCCTGTAACAAGCAAATGTGTCCCTGTAATGTATTGAAACGTTTACATGAATCACCTCATAGGGCTCCTATGTTAAGCTTGGAGCCATACCAGGGCTCCTCTGAGCGAACTTCCTATTGGTCGCTTCGTAACAGCGACCAATCAGAACATACCATTCCCTAGGAGGGAAAGACTCCCATTGGTCCTTAACTAAGCAATCTCATTGGTTGTTAATTGTAAATAGGCGTGGCTACATTAGCCCGGTTATGTTTAAAAGGAGCATAAGCTCCCACTGTTTTCTGTTCTGGTTTCTTACTGAGTTAGTGCTTGTTCGTTACTTCCAATAAAGCTGAATCACTTGCTGAATCACTCTAAGAGTCCTTTGTTAGCGCGATCTAACAATTGGCGACGAAGGTGGGATGTTAGAGCAGGTAGGCAGCCCTGCGGACATCCACACTTCGGACTCGGAAGAAAGCGAGCAGAGCACAGCAGCCGATCCGGCGGAGGCGCCACCAGCTCCGGTGCCCAAGTCTCCCCCGATGGCTGGAAGCCAGAAGTTCGAGTGCTTCGAACCCTCCTCAGAAGACTGGGACTCCTACCTATCCAGGTTCGAGTTCCATCTGGAGACACACGACATTACAGACGAGGCCAAGAAACGGGCGTGCCTCCTGAGTTCCTGCGGGAAGGGGACCTTCGACATAGCCAGGTCGTTGGTGGCCCCAACTGATATAAAGACTGTCACCTACGCTGACATCACGGAGAAGCTTAAGGCTCACTATTCTCCACAACCGTCGGAGATCGCCTGCCGGCACGCTTTTTACAAGCGGAACCAGGCCGGAGGCGAGACCATCGCAGATTTCGTGGCGGCCCTTCGCAAAGCCGCACGGCCATGTAATTTCCACAACGTGGAGGAAGCCCTCAGAGACCGTCTCGTCTGCGGTCTCAAAGATGAAAGGCTGCAACAGAGGCTGTTCGCCCGCACCACCCTGACCTGGGCAGTGGCCTACGAAGAGGCCGTGGCCGCGGAAGCAGCGGAGAAGTCCACGAAGGAGGTCCGCCAGCGGGTGGCAGAGCCCAGTATACACGCTCAACGAGACAGCGAGGGCGAAGACGCGGATGATGACGTCAACGCGGTTCGAGGCAAGCGGACCCCAGCGAAGACTACCAACGTCAAGCCTTGCTCCGGTTGTGGCGGGAAACACCAGCGCGACTCCTGTTGGGCTCGTGATGTCGACTGCAGAGCGTGTGGGCGGCGTGGTCATCTGGCCAGAGTCTGCAGATCAGCAAAGAAGGATCCCTCAACTAACAACCGGTCAGCGCAGAGGGGCACTCCAGTCAGCACCCAAGGCAAGACCCGTTCCTCAGCATCGGAAGCAAGCTGCCAGTTGACGGCGACCTTGTCGAGCGCATCGGCCGTAAATCGCACCAGCAGCCAGGGCAAGATCACCGTGACTCCACTCCTCGACGGCCGACCCTGTACAATGGAGGTGGACTCAGGATCGTCCGTGACGGTGATTTCTGCCGCGTCCTGGCGCCAGTTGTTCCCGAACCGAAGCCGGCGGCGGCTCCAGCCTGCGGGAACCAGAGTGTCCGACTTCCAGGGCAACCGAATTCCCTTGGCCGGACGGGACTCTGTTACTGTTGAGTATAAGGGGAAATGTGTTAAACTGTCATTCCTGATTGCAGAGGGAGACCGGGTTAACCTGCTAGGGTTAGATTGGTTTGAGCCATTGGGCATTGGTATTTCTGGGATTAACAGGATGTCTGAAAATAAATGGGGCATGCTGTACGACCTGTTCCCTGATGTATTTGCCGAAGGGTTGGGGAGGTACAAGGGCCCCCCGGTTGCGTTTGACTTAGATCCGTCAGTCAAACCTATTAGGTTGAAGTATCGGAAAGTACCTGTGTCTCTCAAACATAAGGTGGAAAAAGAGATTGACAAACTAGTTGAGCAAGGGGTTTTAGAGCCAGTACCATACAGCAAATGGGAGACCCCGATCGTAACCCCTGTCAAATCAGATGGGTCCATACGACTATGCGCCGATTACAAATGTACGATTAACAAGGCGCTGCAGCAACATTCGTACCCGGTCCCGGTAATAAGCCACATTTTGGCTTCCCTGGGGGGTGGCAAGATTTTCGCCAAATTTGACCTGGCCCAGGCATACCAGCAGTTGCCTGTCACCCCGGAGGCTGCCGAGGCCCAAACAATTGTAACCCACCAAGGGGCTTTTAAAGTGAACAGGCTGCAATTCGGGGTCAACGTAGCACCTGGGATTTTTCAGGGCCTCATGGAACGTCTACTAAGGGGGGTACCTGGCACAGTGCCCTATTTTGACGACGTGCTGATTGCGGGCGGGTCTGAACAGGAACTACTGGACCGGGTTAAAGAGGTCCTCAGGCGTTTTCAAAATGCCGGTCTCAGAGTTAAGCGCTCAAAATGCACGCTCGGGGTGGAAAGTGTGGACTTCCTGGGGTTTCGCATTGACGCAGAGGGAGTCCACCCCACGGATGAGAAGGTATCTGCAATCCAAAACGCCCCCAGGCCGGTGAGTAAGAAGGAGCTCCAATCCTTTTTAGGACTCCTGAATTTTTATCATGCGTTTTTACCGCATAAGGCATCAGTGGCGGCCCCTTTGCACGCGCTTTTGCACAAGGAGGCAAAATGGAAGTGGGGGCAGGCCGAGGAAAAGGCTTTTGTGGGAGTCAAGGAGCTGCTGACATCTAATGCCGTACTCACGCATTATGATGAACACAAGCTCCTGGTGTTAGCTGCTGACGCTTCACCTTTTGGAGTAGGCGCAGTTTTAAGCCATCTGATGCCTGATGGGAGCGAAGCGCCTATCGCTTTTTATTCTAGATCACTATCTGCGGCAGAGCGGAACTATGCCCAGATAGACAAGGAGGGTCTGGCGTTGGTAGCGGCTGTCAAAAAGTTCCATGATTTTATTTTTGGCAGACGATTTTTGCTGGTCACTGACCACAAGCCGCTACTGGGGATTTTTGCGCCCGATAAGCAATTGCCAAACATCATGTCCCCACGCATGCTTAGATGGGCGATATTTTTGCAGGCTTATGATTTTGACTTAGAGCACCGGCCTGGGAAAGCGATTGGGCATGCGGATGCCCTCAGCCGGTGCCCGGTGCCGGACATTGGCGCAGACCCTGCCCCCGCCTGTGAGGTCTTGGCAATTGAGGAGCTTCCTCGACCCCCGGTATCATCCAGGGACATTGCAGCACACACGGCCAAGGATAGCGTGCTGTCCCGAGTATTAAACTGGGTTTGGAGGGGGTGGCCGGTTGGAAGCGTTGAACCGGAGTTCGGCCCTTACAAAAGCCGTCAAAATGAACTATCCATTTCTAAGGGCTGTGTATTATGGGGGAACAGGGTGGTGGTTCCTGACAAACTCAGGACGAGAGTGTTAGAGTCGCTGCACGAGGGTCACCCCGGTATGGTACACACCAAAGCGTTGGCCAGAGGGTATGTCTGGTGGCCGGGGCTGGACAAAGAGATCGAAGAATGGGTACGAGGGTGTCCCAAATGCCAGCAAGTCAGACCCGATCCCCCACAAGCTACACCCCAAGGCTGGGAGTCATCTGGTAAACCCTGGGCCAGATTGCATATAGATTTTGCTGGCCCTCTCCAAGGGCAAATGTTCCTAATTGTGGTGGACGCTATGTCCAAATGGCTGGAGGTCGTGCATATGAAATCGACCACATCACTTGCTGTGATCCATGCGCTCCGCCGACTTTTTGCCACCCACGGGTTGCCTGACGTCATCGTCAGTGACAACGGGCCTCAATTTGTGTCTGAGGAATTTAGGCTCTTCCTCACGAGTAATGGCATACGCCAAATGACTTCGGCCCCTTTCCATCCGGCATCTAATGGCCAAGCCGAACGGATGGTCAGGACGGCCAAAGAGGCCCTGGGTAAAATGGACGAAGGGGACTGGAGCCAGAGGCTGGGCTCCTTTCTTTTGCTGCAGCACACCACCCCCTGTAGTGCTACAGGCCGTAGTCCGGCCGAATTGTTAATGGGGCGGAGACTCACGACCCGTTTGAACCGAATGCACCCAGACCTCACTGAAGAGCAATCCGAGCGTACCACGGCGCAACCGAAGGTGCGCATGTTTGAAAAAGGGGACAAGGTTTTCGCACGAAATTATGCAAACGGGCACTTATGGCTTCCTGGGGTTATATCCGACTCTGTGGGTACTCGAATGTATGTGGTGCAGTTAGCTGACGGTCGAATATGGCGGCGCCACATAGATCAGTTAAGGAGACGTTGGGCTAGGGACAGCGCTGACTCTCCGACGGCTGAATCCCCTGATGTCGAGTGGACACCCCCAGAGCAGGCGGTGAGTACCGAAAGGCCCGGTACTGTCCCCGAGTCAGGGCAGAACCCTGTGTGCGGGGCTGAAATCCCAGTCGAGTCTGTGCCTGATCCAGGCTGTAGTGAACCCCACTCTGACCCACAACCTTGTCTGCCCATGGAGCCTGCACCGCTCCGCAGGTCCCAGCGTTCGCGGCAAATGCCGACTTATCTGAAGGACTATGAGTGTAAATACTGTTGGAATAACTGATGTACAAAGGTTGATTGCATGTTTGTAAATAATAAAACAATTGGGATGATGGCTTAACTTAGGGGGGAGGAATTGTAATGTATTGAAATGATTACATGAATCACCTCATAGGACTCCCATGTTAAGCTTCGAGCCAGACCAGGGCTCCTCTGAGCGAACTTCCTATTGGTCGCTTCGTAACAGCGACCAATCAGAACGATACCATTCCCTAGGAGGGAAAGACTCCCATTGGTCTTTATTCTAGCAATCTCATTGGTTGTTATTTGTAAATAGGCGTGGCTACATTAGCCCGGTTATGTTTAAAAGGAGCATAAGCTCCCACTGTTTTCTGTTCTGGTTTCTTACTGAGTTAGTGCTTGTTCGTTACTTCTAAATAAAGCTGAATCACTTGCTGAATCACTCTACGGTTCCTTTGTTAGCGCGATCTAACACTTAACCCACAGGGGTCTTCAGTTTTGTTCAGCTGGTGAGCAATGCTCCCTCTACGCTGTGGAGTCTTGTGAGCAAAGATTCTACTTTGTGAGCTACCGGCATTAAAGTTGTGAGGGAGCGATTTGGCTACTGCAGAAATTAGTTCGCTCCGGAGCCATCCCTTCCTGGGCTAAGGCAAAAAATGTGCAAGCTGGAGGCTAAAAAAACTGTGAGCTAGCTTACACTAACTCAGCTTAGAGTGAATGCTGCTTGTGAGTGCTTCTGGGATTTTGAGAACAGGCTCCACCATAAAAGGGCTGCTGTGGTGGCCTGGATGAATCACAAAAGGGTGGGAGGTGGCAAGTTAAGCATCTTCCTACAATGGAGGCACCTGTGACAGAAAAAAAGGAGGAGATTGTTTTGTACCTGGCCCTTCACAACCCGAAGGAGTCTCAGAGCGGCTTACAATCTCCTTTCCCTTTCCCTTCCCCTTCCCCTCCCCACAACAGACACCCTGTGAGGTAGGTGAGGCTGAGAGATTAACTTATCTGGAAATATATTTAACAGAAACATTTCTGGTCTATAAGGTAATTCTATTCCATACATATCTACTAGTATCTTGTGTACCTTTCGCCAGAATCGCTGGGACTTTTGGCATCTCCACCACATGTGATAGATGGTGCCTACATTGTTTTTACATTTCCAGCAATTTTTAGATACATTTGGATAACATTTGGCTATTTTATCCGGGGACCAGTACCACCGGTGGTACATTTTAAATATGTTTTCCTTGTATGGAATTGCGCGTAACTGTTTTGCAGCAATCCAAATCTTAGACCAGTCTTCTATGGTGTAACCTACATCTTGCATCCAGGCAATCATAGTACATTTAACCTCTTCATCAAGTTCATAGTTTATTAGGAACAAATTATATAATTTTTGAATTAATTTGTCATTTGTCGACAGCCATAGCTTATCCAACTCATTTTTTTCACAATATATTCCTTTCTTTTCATCTTTCTCAAAGGACGACCTCAATTGCGTATTTTCCCACCACGATAACTTTATGCCTTGTTTCTCAAGAGCCTCTTGTTTTTTTAGTATACCTTTTTCATCTAGTAAGGTTTCATAAGTTAAAAGCTCTGTGTTTTTCGTTAGGGGTGGTTTTATAAAGGCTTCTAGAGGGGACAGCCATCTGGGGGTTTTGAGATAATGTTTATCTTTAATCTCTTGCCAGATCTTGTTTAGTGCGCCTCTAACAGTATGTTGATCAAACTTCTTATGTATTTTATCCTTATCATAGCCTATATATGCATGCCACCCCATGTCCAAATCAAAGCCTTCTAACGTCAACAGTCTCTTGTTTTCTAAAGTAATCCATTCTTTTATCCAAGACATTGCTGCTGCGGAATAATAAAGCTTCCAATTTTCCAATTTGGAAGTTTCACACCCCCTTGTTCTTTTCGGTCTTGTAGAACTTTCCATTTAATCCGTGGGGTCTTATTTGCCCAAACAAATTTTTTGCATTTGCAGAAAATATATATTTGAGATCTTAACCCAATGTATATCAAGGCCCAGATTCAGACCAACAATCAAAAAAACAAGAGGGAATAAGCTTTCTTAAACAGGAAAAGTACTGTTTTCCCTAACCAGAAACAGCCATGGGGGTTATTAGTCCCATCAGGGAGTTGCACATGCACTGAATGCTTGCAGATGTGTGCACCCGCTATGATTGCCCTCTCAGGGCCATTACAAACCAGGAAAATGGCACAGGGGAAAGGCACACAGACATACAAAATTGAGAGCGTGCAGAAGAGAATGAGGATGATCAGGGGTCTGGAGCCCTACGAGGAAAGGCTGACGGCCTTGGGAATGTTTAGTTTGGAGAAGAAGAGATTGTGGGGGGGACATGATTGCTCTCTTTAAATATTTGAAAGGCTGTCATTTGGAGGAGGGCAAGGAGCTGTTCCAGTTGGCAGCAGAGGATAGGACCTGAAGCAACGGGTTTAAATTACATGCAGAAAGGTATCGGCTGGATATTAGGAAAAACCTTTTCACAGTCAGAGTGGTTCAAAGGTGGAATCAGCTGCCTAGGGAGGTGGTTAGCTCCCCTTCACTGACAGCTTTCAAGAAGAGGCTGGACGAATATTTGTCAGAGATGCTTTAGGCTGGTCCTGCATTCGCCAGGGGGATGGACTAAATCAGAGGTGTCAAACTCATTGTTATGACGGCCAGAACTGACATAAATGTCACTTTGTCAGGCCAAGCCATGCATGTCATAAAATGTAGCACCAGGTACCAGAGATATAAACTTTATAAAGGACACCGGCAAACCCAATTAACAATATTATTTTTATGCAAAATACAAAAAGCAATTGATTCCTAGCAGTGAAAGCAATTGATTTACTGGGGAACCCACAAAAGTCCCAATGGAGGTATTTAATCATATGCAAGACTAGTTTTTTTCCAAGGGATACCATAAAAGGGGGAGTACCTTACATTTCTATACATACCAATTGCTCAAGGGCTGGATAAGAGCCATGGACGAGCTGATTCCAGCCCCCGGGCCTTATGTTTGACACCACTGGACTAGATGGTCTGTCTGGCCCCTTCTAAATCTATGATTCTATACACTGCATGCTTCTGCAGTGAGTTTCCTTGGGAAATTTACAGCTGGCACCCTGTTGAAAGTCCCTCTTGGGACTACATGATAAACGTAATATGTAGCTTGGCCCAGATATGGCAGCCCTTAAACTCTGATACTGCAGCTGAATTGTGTCAGCAGGCTCATAAATTATGGGTAAGTGATAAATGTGTTATGTACAAAACAGCCTTTGAAGCTTGTTCAACTGGCTTCAACTTGGCATTGAATTTGACTAAACCAATGTTGTAAGCAAATGTTGGAGTCATTTCGAGTTCTCAGGTGCCAACAGCTATATTTTCAGGCGCCTGGCATTTTTCCAGACATTGTCCTGATTTTAACGGGGATGAATCTGTTGACTGCAGCATAGACAACAGATATAACAGCCTTTCCAAAGGACATTTCTTAAAATTCAAAGTGCATTATCCATAGCAGGCAGGTATTTTCAAAGGTCTTGCTCTGATTAAGAGACAAATGTGATGATGCACTCACTTACTTGAGAAAGTTTCACGGTCTGTGTATGCCTGCCCTCCATTTCACCATCATAGTCATCAGGATGACTGATCAAGCTCCACTCATAACTATAGGATGCTTCTGAATGACAGAAAATGGTACCAGATTAGTGCTGTCTGAGGCAGTGAAGCTCTGTATTCTTGGTGCTTGGGTGGCAACAGTGGGAGGGCTTCTAGAATCCTGGCACCGCTGGTGGACCTCCTGATGGCACCTGGGTTTTTGCCACTGTGTGACAAAGAGTGTTGGACTGGATGGGCCACTGGCCTGATCCAACATGGCTTCTCTTATGTTCTTATGAAATGGTTGTTACCCTGTCTGAATTAACGATATGGCCCCAGTTTCCGAGGTTTACCCATGTTTTGCAAGAGGAACAGTAATAGGTCAGCCTGCCCTCTACCACACAGTGCATGCAACTTAGGAAACAGACACTAGAGTAATGATCATTCACACGATTCCTCTGTACTCAGTCTTGCAGGAGGGAAATAGCATGAGTCTAGAGTGCCTGGTGTGTACGTTGCACCATGTACATGGTAGAGGGAATGAGGGGATGGGATCCAGTCTAAGTTTTCCACTAGCAGAATGGAACTTGCCTGATCTCCATGCAATACTGTTCCTGAGGAACTGGGGACCTTAAGGAACAGCATATGGGGGGTCTGCAGTGGGAAGGGGGAATTGATGGAAATTGGCTATTTAATCTAAATCCAGCCCAGGATGTGCCACACCTCCATCTGTGAAGGCCATGCAAACATCCCTCCCAGAAATCAATCAAGAAGAATTATGGGATGTGCACACATGTCTTACAAAGAATAGGGCAGGGCTGGTTTAACATATTTCGCTGTTCCAGCAAGACAATCCACATTACCTCCTTTGCCGCTGCTGGTTTAAACACAACTGGGTCTCAGAGGTAATGCCACTGCTTCATCCATCACCCAAAGACAGGAGCCACGTGAATGCCTGCAGAGTGCTGGCACCTTCCTCAGTGTGCTGTCCCAAGGGCTTGCTTGGGATCTTGGCTAGAAAATTGGCCCTGAAATGGGGTAGGGGTAGGAACAGCCCTCATTTCCCAAAACTTTACTTATTTCTATCGGATTCATCATGAATAAGAAAAAAACCAACTTCCATTAACAGATTGCATAGATGGTCAAACCCTGGAAATCAGCTCACACATGTTAAGTTATAAGGCGAACCACGTCTAGACTTTCTAACTTAATTTTTTTTATTCTTTCTTTTCTTGCAGAAATGTGAATAAAGCCAAGATAATTCATACTTACATTAAATAAATAAATTTAATATAAATAAAATAAATAAAAATAATCAAAACTTCCTTGCCAAAGAAATTCAAACTCCATGTTCAAAAATAAGCTATGCCAGTGAATACTAGCTATGCAGATTTCCTTACTTTCTGTGAACTTCGTGACTATAAATGTTCTCATCTAAATCCAGAATCTGCATAACTTTGAATGTTCTAGATAGGAACAGAGTGAAAACAGGAAGTGAGATATGAACAGTGATGTGGAGCCAACAGGGCCGGCTCCAGGCATTTTTGTGCCCTAGGCAGGGCTACCTTCTGGGGGGTCCCCCCGCGCGTCCACCAATTATGGGGGTTGCCAACCTCCAGGCGGGGCCTGGAGAGAAGGATCTCGATGGGTCCCCGCCCCCCTCTGTCGCCACATAAATCAGTTTGCTCTGGAGCCGTCCCTTCCTGAGCCAAGACAAAAATGTGTGAACTGTGAGCCAGCACACTCTCACTCAGCTTAGAGGGAACACTGCTTCCGACGGAGCTGCAGAAAAGCACACACATAAGCCACAGTCTTTGCAAACGGGGGGGGGGACGGACAGAGAGAGGAGGGGAGGGTCTGTCCTTTCCGGTCAGCTTGGAAATTTGTGCGCCCTGGCAGGAAGAACGCTGTGGAGTGTTGTGAGCAAAAATGCTACCTTGTGAGCTACCGGTGTTAAAGTTCCTTCCCTCCCATCCCCCTTATCTTGGCCCTCCCCGAGGTGCCCCTCCCTGTCTGAGAAGCAGCAGCCCAGTCTCGCGGGGCAGCCTGTAAGGCGCCAACAAGTTCTCTTTCATTTCGGCCGAGGAGCAGCCACTTGACACCCCCGTGAACATGACCGCCCCCCCTCAAACAAGACCCAAGCAGCAACAGAGGAGGGCGACGCGGCCCGAGACGGAGAAGGTGCGGGGAGGCTGCCTAGCGGACCTCCGGGTGCTCCCACCTCACCGGCCGAGGCGCCCTTGAGCCTAGCAGAGGGAGAACGAGGAGGGGAGACGCGTCACTCCCCACAGGCCACGAAACTCCGCGATCTTTCTCTCCCTCGGCTGGCATCATTGGCAGCCTCTTTTGAAGCCCCTTCTCAGCTTGTTTCGTCGGCCTGCTTTCCTGCAACTCCCGGCGCTCGTCCGCCTCCTCCAGCCCCCCCCCCCATGGAGATCTCCTACTTGGCCCTGTGAGTGCCAGAGAAAACACAAGCCAGATGATTCCTGTCTCAGCACCGCGCAACCAAGTTGGGGCGTGAAAGCCAAGACAAGCTCTACCTGCAGCAGGGAAGGGGCGCAGCAGAGCAGCCTCTCTGCAGGGCGAAGAAGCCACTGGGAGCGACGGCATGGGAGAGGGTGTGGTGGCGAGGAGCAAGCAGGATCGCGGGGGTGCGGCTACTCCGCCGCTATCAGGGCTACTTTTTAAAGGGAGCTCCGCGGGGGGGGGGGTAGGGGTGCATGCAAGAGAGAGGCTTTCCTTTCCTGATTCCCCCATTGCTGAGAGAGGATGAGATGGAGGCAGGACGAGCGGATGGCAGGCGGCGAGGTGTGCTGCTGCATCGTGGTGCACATGTGCAGAGCCACAGCCACCAGCACACCACGCCCCCCACGCGCCACCCACGGGTTCCCCGGCAAAAGCTTCCCCGGCCTCACTCCGCCGGGCGCTCCTGAGTTGCTAAGGGCAAACTCACCCCGGCCCTGCACGCGAGAGGGGCGGACGCCTGGTTAGGGCAGCGGCAGTGGCTGGGGGGCGGGGCGCAGTTTGGCACCCCTGAGGGCCGGCCTGCCCTAGGTGAGCCCCTAGTTCGCCTAGCGGGCGAGCTGGTCCTGGGAGCCAACCATGGGATTACTTTGACTCTCCCCCATTCCACTGAAGCCCCTTATGCTGTTCCTGAGTGTTTTCTCACCCCCAGGAACAAATATTTGGAGGAGAGCTCAGTGGATGGCAGCAGGAGTGGGATGTCCCGCCTCATGAGGTTCTCAGATGATTGGGCACACCCCACTGGCAGCAAGAAAGAATGAGTGACAGCAGAGTGGGAGACCATGAGAAATTCTGCCATGCTGGGTACAAAAGATCTCATCTACGAAAGGCGATGCCATTACCAGAGGCTTCCTCGTTGCTTTCTAATACATTTGTGCAAACTTATTTTCATCATCCCATTCATATTAAGAACTCACCTGGAAGTGATGGTGTAACTACAAAGGCATGCAGTTCAACTTCCTTTTCTGGTAAAGTTATTTGTATATTATCTCCAGCTGACACCAACAGTTCTTTTACTGCACATAAATTAGGGGGGAAATGAAATCATTTGAAAACCAGAGTAAAAATTGTATCCTCGCTACCAACTGAGTAAAAGTCTGCAAGCCCCTCCTGTTGCTGAAAATCTGTATGCATCATAGCAGTGAGGTACTGCTATTTCTCATCAAACCTTGGCAAATCTTCCCTCTGACAGTGCAAACTGTAAATAGTCAGCATGACTTTTCATCGTGCCACATGCCTTAGGTTTACAGTGCTACGCAGGGAGGTATCCCCTTGCAGGTACATGGTTATATCTCTTGTAGGCATTTGCATCCTGAGCTATGGATTCCATGAATTAATAGTTCCTGGTTTGGGCCCACTGAAGAGTTTCCACACACAAGGTGGATTTTTGGCAATTCCCCTCTCTTGTAGCAGACCTCCCACTCCCTCCTAACACTGTTCCTGGGGGGGGGTCCCCTGCCCACCAGGAGCAGCATTTGGGGCTGTAGTGGGAGGCAGAGAAGTTGTGCTTCATGGATGCAAATCACTTCTGGACCCAGAAACCTTCCAGAGGATCCAAGCAAGCCTGTGGTTTAAATTTAACATCTGTTCACGTATATGTATTTTTAGCCAACAAAGTAGTAAACAAACGTTATCTGCCATCAACATTTTGTACCATGCCCTCATGTAATGTATAGCAGCCTTTTATGGTCTTCAAAAATAAATACCAGTAAGATGCAGTTTTTTCTTACCACAGGTTGCCAGCTAAGTGATTAATTACAAGCCTGATTTGAGCAACATCTTCAAATGTAAAGTGTCAATCTTTTCAGGCCACAAAAAAGACTAACTCACTGTATCTCTCTGAGTCATATCCATCCTGTGCGGCACGAGCTGCACTGGTTGCCAGTGGAGTATCGGATCAAATTCAAGGTGTCAGTGTTGACCTTTAAGGCTCTTAGTGGCCAGGGACCCATATATCTTTGGGACTGCCTCTCTCAGTATGCCCCCAGATGAACATTATGCTCGGGAAGTAAGAACCTTTTGGTGGCCCCTGGCCCAAGAGGGATCCGGCCATCTTCAGCCAGGGCCAGGGCTTTTCCAACCCTGGTCCTGGCCCGGTGGAGCACTCTGCCAGAGAACATCCATGCCCTGCGGGATCTGGCTTAGAAGGCAGAGATGTTCCGGCAGGCATTCAGTTGAGGACAGCGATGGTACAGACTGAGGTCTGGTACTCTCATACCTCCCCACACCCCCACACCCATATCCACTCCAGGGGGCCTGTGAAAATTTTATCCTTAAACTATTTTCTGCCATCCTGAGCTGATTATTTTATGTATTAATTGTTATTTATTGTAGTTTTAATTTTTTTAATTTTGGTAGTCTTGTATTCCGTAATGTGTTGTTGTACTGAATTTTATTGTAAGCTGCCCTGAGCCCTGCTTGCAGGAAAGGGTGTCCTAAAAATTGAAATCTTCATCAACTGCATATTTCGCACACCGTCGCTCCAAATTCCCCAGGGGAGTCTACATAGTTCTTTCTTCCTCCATTTTATCTTCACAGTTACAAAGCAAGTTAAGTTGAAAGAGAAAATAATAGCAGAGTGGGGACTTGAACCCAGGCATACCCAGTCCTAGACTGCTGCTCTAACACTACACATATTACCAAAACATCAGCCACAAAGTATTTACATTACCTGCTTTTGCAGCAGTAGTGGGAATTGGTACTTGACCTGTGGCAGAAGGCTCAGTAGTGAGAATGCTGGTGGGCACTGATGAGATTTCATCTTCTATGTGACTATCAAGATCTAATGTTTGTGTTTGTGCTGCAGGCGTGGAGAGAAATCCAGTGATGTCTGAAGAAGGAGGATTACGGGAAGGTGTTAGACCCTATTAAGATGAATTGCAGGAATACATCATTATTGTGAATACTTTTCTCACCATTCAAAATCACACAAAAAACCCCCCCACACATAAGATTCCATCACAGCTAGCCGATGAGAGATGGAAAACATGGTAGATTTCCTGGCCTTACTATTAAAAAAATTGAAGTTTCTGTGATTTTCCAGTTCTTTTCTATGAACTGAACAGAACAAGAAAGGACTACAGGTGACAATGGAAATGCTACTAAGCAAAACATACACCTAAGCATAATGCTGTATAAAAATTCTTTAGAAAATAATCCTGGGCTATAGCCATGAAAAAAGTGGCAATAATCACCAGTGTTTTCACAGCTATAAAAAAGACCAGTAGTTGCATGGATTAAGGTTACATAATTAAAAATTGCTTATAAAAATGCCAGTGAACATACAACAGGAAACTGCCATCCTTCAGAGCATCGCAGGTACAGAACAGTTTGAAAGACACACTAAGAAGATGTGAAGAAATAAGAAGGAGAAAAAAACAAGAGTGCCACTGACTTAGGATTTCCACCTTTCCCAGAGGAAAAGATATTAGACTTCTGCTCATTTTCATATGTTAACTCAGCCTGGTTCCCAAAACAAAATTAGAAGTTATATGGATGAGAGTTGCAGTGAATGAGACTGTCAGCAAGCCAAGAATTACCATAGTAGATGAAGCCAAAATTCTATCAATGGGGCATAGGTATATTACAAATATCAGATTCATGACAATTTAACTACCACGGATTTCCCCAAAGGAACTCTGGGAACAGATGCCAAGAATTGCATTAGAGATCCCTATCTCCCCCCTCACAGAGCTATAATTCCCAGGGTTCTACAGAAATAAACCAGTTTAAATCTGTAATAGAATTAATCCAACTTTCTATCATCAAAAGTGGCCTTGCAAGATGTCACGAAGAAGCTCACAAGGAGCACATCTGGAGGAACGCTTTCTGTCACTGTTCTTCAGCATCTAATAATCAAAAAATGTTGCCTCTGGACATGCAGGCTCTACTTGCCTGTCAAGGCATCTTTCAAAACCTGCTCTGTCTCTCCTAATTCCAGCCATGCTTAGCGTTGCCAGGTCAGGGTTGGGAAATACCTGGAGATTTGGGTGGGTGGAGAGTGGGGAAGGTGGGATTTGGGGAGAGGAGGGAGCTCAGCATAGGTATGTCATACAGTCCACCTTCCAAAGCAGCCATTTTCTCCAGGGGAACTGATCTTGGTTGTCTGGAGATAGCTGTAATAGCAGAAAGTCTCCAGGTGCTACCTGCAGGTTGGCAAACCTACCCATGCTCCAAGCATCTCTATATCCCCAGATTTAGGCTTGTGCATGCACTCACACACACTGCTGCTCTCTTTTTGCCTCTTTTATAATTTTTTTGGGGGTCTTTAAATGAGACAACCACAAAGCAGATTGCAGACCACTCCAAACTGGCCTACAATATTTTGAAAGAACGTCTTATGTAGCTGTCAACATAGAAGAGCAGACCGCAACATCTTCAGGACTAAGTACTATTGTTTTCCGTCATCTATGCAAACTTGTATCTTCAAACATAAGCACTGGAAACTTGCTTGGAAAAATAAATTAAAACTGGTTTTCTCAAGGCCAAACTAGATGAGACAGAAAGATCCATGAGTCCTGCGTGTGTGAGTTTAGGTTAATTCAGAGGCTATTTTGGGGGAGGTTAGCTGGAGGAAGGAGAGTGTTTAACCCTTTCCTCTCATGCCTATTCCAGGACTCAAATAGCCCCTCTCTAAAGCTACAATTAGACTCCATGGTTGGGAAAGGCAGGTTGAAGTGCTCGTACTATTCTTTTCACTCATGCAGTGTCAACTGCAGCTTCTGATGGGTTATTTAATTATAACATGGAAGGAAAAGTATTGAATTCCACCTTCTCTCAACTGAACCCCAGTCTACAGAGCATCTGCCCGGCGATGATTATTAGCTTTTAAACACACACACACTCTGCTGAGATCCTACTCAGGGGATCCTAATCATATCCAGAGGATCCTAATCGTATCTCATCTAGGTCAGCCTTCAGAATTTCAGCAAGAACATTTAGGATGCAGCCAGTGGATCATAAGTTGCCCAGTCTTGCTTGACGACTACAAAACAATATACCCTTTTCATTCTTTAAAACCTGGAAATGAAAAGTTCAGAAGCAAACTTGTTCTTCCTCAACCTTTCTCTTCTATTATTATTTATTATTTAAAACATTTTAATGTCAGCTTTCCACCCAATCAGGTCCACAAGGTAGTGAACATAAAAACATTTAAATAATTAAAAATACAGTTAAAATTATAACATTCAATTAAAAACATATATGCATCTCCCACCATTAGGAGTAGTAGGTGAAGGAGGAAAAAATCCCATTCCACTTCAGTCCCCAGCAGGATGGAAGCCCTGGCCCACCCACCCCCCACCTCAGTTCTACAACATCCAACACTTACCTTTTCCTGCCTGGAGCTATTAGCTTCTTTAGGTGGCTGAAAATCCAAGTCACTTGCAGGTGCTTTCTTTACCGGGCCCAACGTTCCTTCAGGCAACTCTCTGGGATATTCAGTGACAGATTTCACCTCAGATACAATTTCATTTGTGGGACTTTTCAAATCGACTTTCTCCCCGTCACTCCCCCCCAGCTCTTCATGCTGGCCTCCTGAAGAATTGAAGCCATTTTCTGTGGTGACCATTAGACCCCAGTCAGCATAGTCATCAACATTCTCCTTCTTGATGTTCAGCTGAAAGGGATTCTGTTCCATATCCCCATATTCATCTGTGTACTCAGGTACCTCTTCAAGGCTACGCTCTTTGCTCAGGAAAGACAATTCCTTTAGGCTACGCACTTCCTCTGATGGGTCATCCTGCACAGCCATAGAGGGAAGCACGTTTGATGGCATCTGCTGAAACCCCAGCAACGCAGCTGGCCTCTGGAAAGGCCTCAGCACAAAGGTCAAATAAGACTTCACCTTCTCCATTTTCTTGGGCTCACAGTTTCCTTTATGTTGACAATTGACAATATAGCAGTGCTGTTCAAACATCCAAGACAAGTCACAGTCAGAAAGACTGCAACAGGCTGCCATGCAGTCTGCCATTGACACAGCATGGGGGACCCGCATGATTTTAGTTGTTTCTAAACTGGGAGATATTATTGCATCTGAGTACTTGGCGCCTTCCCTGCACTGTTGACAGAAACACCCTGAAATAATAAGCACTAATGTCAGGAAGATAAGATTAACACCACACAGCCCCCACCAAAGAGTCATTATGTTAAGAAAAGAGCCTCTCTCAATTAACATCTTTGTTCAACTTAAATATTGCTTGAATACATACTTTCTTTAAATGAAATATCTTGAATAATTTACAGCTTAGAATTAACCAAGCGTAACTAACAAAAGCACATGAAGGCTTATACCGTGAATAAAACTTTGTTGGTCCTAAAGGTGCCACTGGACTCAAACTCTGTCCCGCTGCTTCAGACCAACACTTAAAAGGATGCTAAGTATATTTATGTATAAACAAGACCAATTAATTTCAGAAGCATTTTACTACGCTTAGTTTTCCCATTATCTTGTGGTGGCTCCATGTGTATCGTATATGAAACCTGCTGAAGTGGAAACTGTGCCCCAGTCATGTCTCTCAGATAACGCGAAAAGTTTTAGATCTCTTTCCCATATCTATTTCACTCCCATTTCACTCATCACTCCCATAAGCACATAAAGAATTAAGCTGGGCTCCATCATACAACGTGCAAAATGAACTGTGACATAACAAGAACATATGTACACAGATTAAATTGCCTAACTCAGATGTAAACAGTAAGCCTTGTCTACAGAAATGCTTCGTTTTGTATTGCTTTAATTATGAATTAAAAACTGGTTAAATGACAGGAAGCAAAGAGTAGGATAAAATGGACAGTTCTCACAATGGAGGAAAGTAAGCAGTGGGGTCCCACAAAGATTGGTATTGGAGCCAGTGTTCCCTCTATGCTGAGTTAGTGTGAGCTAGCTCACAGTTTTTTAGCCTCTAGCTCACACGTTTTTGTCTTAGCTCAGGGAGGACGGCTCCAGAGCAAATTAATTTATGCAGGACCCAAATCGCTCACTCACATCTTTAATGCCAGTAGCTCACAAAGTAGAACTTTTGCTCACAAGACTCCACAGCTTAGAGGGAGCACTGATTGGGGACCGTACTTAATTTATTCATAAATGATCTGGAACTAGGGGTGAGTAGTGTAGCAGCCAAGTTTGCAGATGATACAAAATTATTCAGGATGGTGAAAACCAAGTCTGACTTTGAAGAGCTCCAAGAGAATCTCCACAAACTGGGTGGGTGGGCGACAGTGTGGCAAATGAAGTTCAATGTTGGCAAGTGTGATGTACACTGGGACAAAATAGGCTTATGAGGTCTGGACTTGCTGAGACTGAGGTGAAGAGCTCTTGGGGTCACAGTGGATAGCTCAATGAAAGTGTCAATCCAGTGTGCTGCAACAATGAAAAAGGCAAATTATAATGCCTCTTTTGGAATACTGTATACAGTTCTGGTCACTGTTTCTTAAACTGGACATGGCAGAGCTGGAAAAAGAGCCTGAGGGCATCCAATGAAATTGATGGGCAGTAGATTCGGGATGGACAAAAGGAAATACTTCTTTAAACAGAGAGTGATTAAAATGTGGAATTCGCTGCCAGAAGATGTTGTGATGACCACAGGAATAAACAGCTTTAAAAGTGGATTAGATAAATTCATGGAGGATAGGTCTATCAGTGGCTACTAGCCATGGTGACTGAGGGAATCCTCCACATTCAGAGGCACTAAACATCTGAATCCCAGAGCCAGGAGGCAACACCATGGGAAGGTCTCGGCCTCCATGCCCTGTTGTTGGCCCTCCAGAGGAACTGGTTGGCCACTGTGTGAGACAGGATGCTGGACTTAGATGGACCACTGGTCTGAAACAGCAAGGCATGTTCTTAATTGCCATTCAAAGTTTGATCATAACAAACCTAGGATTGTTCTGCAGATCTGCTCAATGCACATGACAACTCTGAAAGAAGAGCTATTCTAAAATAAAGTTACCATTTCCAACATTCCCAGAAGGGTAACTTTGTTAAGTCTACTGCAGCGAGACACTGCATCTGACAAAAATGGGCTCTAGTCTACTAAAACTTATACTGGAGTAAAATCTTACTAGTCTTTAAAGTGCCACACAACTAGGGTTGCCATCCCCCCGATGCCCTAATCCGCCACCCTCCAGCTGGCTAGTGGAGGGAGCCCTGCCCCCAAGCAGCCCTGTCCACACCTACATGCCCTGCGCAATGACGTCGTCCCCCCCCCCCCCATTGCGGCGGGGGGGGGGACACACATGCTCTAGCATCCGGGAAAAAACCTCTATGGTAACCAGGATCTACCAGACAGCAGGCTGAAGTCAGGGCCGGCCCGTTATTGTTAAATTTTAGACTGTCGCCTAGGGCGATGGCTCGACGAGGGTGCCATTCTGGCTGGCCTCGTCCCCTCCTCGCCCGCACAGGAAGCCTCCCTTGCCGGCTTCTTGCTCCATCCCCAGCAAGAGACTCCCCTCTTTGCATCCCCCCAGACAGAAAGAGAAGGAGGAGGGGACAGGCGCAGGGAACAGTCTGGGATGACAGGAAAGTGCTGCTTGCCCTCTGCTGTCTCTTTGGAGTTCCTTTTGCAGCCTGGCAAAGGCCCCCTCCCCCTCCCCTCAAGCGATCCTGCCCCCTCACATGCATTTGCAGCTCACGCCCTCGGCCCGCCCGCTGCGGCTCTGGCGCCCGCCCCGTCCCACCCCGCACAGGGGTGTGTGTGCCAGAATGTATCCTCGCCTAGTGGGCGAAAAAACCTGGGGCCGTCACTGGCTGAAGTCCCCCGCCGACGAGAGACAAGGGACCTGGCAACCCTATACACCTCTTTTCTTTTCCATGTGGACAGAAGAGATTAAGCTGCTGCTTTGGCAGATGAGAGCAAAGTGTCAAAGCAAGAATAAACCGATCAAGAAGGCAAATGCTCATCTACCCGCCCCCCTTCATCATAACAGCTTCACGTATTAGCCTCCATCTCAAAAGGATCATACTAATCTACCAGCCGAACAGGCCAGGATTTTGCAACACTGGCACCTTAGAAGCAATATTCATGTGCAACAGCCTCTCTCCGTGAGAAGGGCTCCTCTGCATCCAACCCTCAAGTTTAGATCCAATTCATTTTGACTTGAAATGAAAAATATAGTAAGGAATCACGGAAAACAAATGTTCCTCTATCGTTTCTATACCATGCTATCCAAAGCTACATTTTAATAATGCTGTATTTGTCCTGTGATGTGATGTTTTCAGAGAGAATTTTGTTCACAGTGATGTGAATACACTATAGCAACCTCAGTACCACATAAAATGCTCACAGAGTTATCACTGCGCCAGGAGAAACTCTGATTCATGTGTTTCTCCTGTCCACCAACTATAGTATAATTATTTCCTTCACAGTCCAACTCACTTTTGGGAATATGGGAGGAAGGCAGTTCAAGAGAGCTATAAAAACACCCACCTAAATCATGCCTCAGAAAACAATTCACTTCTGACGCACAGGCAGCAAATGCTTCTATGCTAACTGAAATCCTAGACACCACCACCCCTGCCACCACCTGGAGGTTGACAGCCCTAAGGGTTCAACAGTGTTCTTTGCTAGAACATACAGTGCACACAAATGAACCAACTAGAATTGATAGTTGTGTTTTAATAGCTGTTTTGCAAATTATTTCAGTGTTTAGAAGTGTGTCCCATTTGAGAGATCATAGTCAAGGGGTGTCGAACTCATTTGTTATGAGGGCTGGATCTAACATGAATGTCACTTTGTCGGGCCGGGTCATGTGTGCCATAAAATGTAACATAACATTATAAAGATTATTTCAGATGCCAAATGGCAATAGCAGGTGTGAGATGCAGAGGTGTGAGATGCAGACAGGTGGAGATGTCAGAATTGGTTTGATATATCAGCATTGGTAATGAGACAGGAAACCTAGGTCTCAATTTGGTACAGGAGGATTCAGTCCAGAAGGATGCAAAGAATAAATGGAAATAAGTCTGAAGATGTGAGCAGTGACTCACAAAATAACATACCCTACCACGATTTTGTTAGTCTTTAATGGTGCTAGTGGACTTTTACTCTACTGGAAAAGCCCCTTGAGAACATATCCAGTAGTCCAAGACTTTCAACTACAGAGAACAGTCACAGACTTCAGTGGGGCAAATGGGGGATGGGATTTATAAACTAAATGCCACAAAATCATACCTCCAACAATATTTGCTGGGTCTTATGAACATCTTCAGCCCAAGAAAGAAAGAAATGTATCAGAAATCTACACAGCAGTGTGCTTTTCAATCCTTTGTACACAATGGATTTAGCTTCATTCTCTCTAAGAGCTTCTTTCCTGTTATTAAGATCCTCATCCTCCCTGAAATACTGCAAGCCTTTTAAAAAGCTTCTGTAATGTATTGAAAGTCTTACATGAATCGCCTCATTGACCTCCCATGTTAAGCTTTTTAATGAAGCTCCATCCACCCTAACACGCTATTGGTCGCTCCGGAACAGTGGCCAATCAGAACGGGACTAATTCCCTGAGCGGGAAAAACTATCATTGGTCCTTATCCTCACAACCTCATTGGTTGTTAAGTGTAAATGGGTGTGGCTATATTAGCCCGGGAATATTTAAAAGGAGCCTGACTCCCAATGTTAAACTGTTCTGGTTATGAATGCTTTTAAGCGCTTGTTCGTTCCTTCAATAAAGCTGATCACTTTGCTGAAATCACTCTCCGGATCTTTGTTAGCGGCGATCTAACAACTGGCGACGAGGCTGGGATGTTAGAGCGGGTAGGCAGCCCTGCTTAACAAACCCCATGACGGACGAGGAGGAGCACAGCGCTGTGGCCACTCCAGCAGCGGCACCACCAGTATCGGTGAATGAGCCTACCAGGATGGCCAATAGCCAGAAGTTCGAGGCATTCGAACCCACGACCGAGGACTGGGACGCGTACCTTGCTAGGTTCGGGTTCCACCTGGAAGCCAACAACATCACGACGGAGGCAAAGAAGCGAGCCAGTCTGTGGAAAGAACGTGTTTGATATTGCCAGGT